TCTGCTCTTGCACCACTCTCTCACTTAAATTGTAGCTTAGGGCTATCTGAAAACCTGGCTTTGCGTTGAAAACAGTGAATTTCTCTATTCACTTTTGCTTACTAGTAGTAGCTAAGCAATGGTCAGAAGATGATCATGTTACATATACACAGTCTTATTAGTGACTGGGTAGCACATTAGTAAAGAACATCCTTTAGGGATATTTTGGATGAGAGAGCAGTGCAAAGACAAAGTGATATAAGAAAATGCTGACCTTTATTTCACTGTATTAGAGACTTTTGTGTCTTTCAGGATCTAAGAAAGAGTAAGAACACAAGAGCTGACAGTTGTATTTAAACAAGTTAAGTAATAATGCATGTATTTTATGTGATGTAATTTTTAAAAAAAGCTTCAGAATTTTTTTTCTTGCAGTGGCTGGAAAAAGATGGAGAATGGCAATACTAGGAATCATTTGCCTAGGAGCACATGCTTAAACTTAATTCCCATTGTAAGCCTTCATGCAGGATCCAAATGCTTTCTTTCCCAGTGCTCTTCAGGCAATCTCCCAAGCCCACAAGGCTTTCCAAAAGAAGTCCTTTTGGTATGACCCAAATGCCCTCAGTCTGGATGTGTAAAGGAAGTTCCCAGAATTTCAACCTGAGGTGCCAAATTGCACATCGTCACGATTAAATTGGCTGGAATTATATTTTCTTAGAAGAGGAGAAAAGGCCCTGTGGCTTTCAAAGTTGTATAAATTCATGAGATCTTTAGGTTCCTTGCAGATTTTAGATATGTCCTCTGTTATGGCCACTGAAGAACCAAAATTATGAAACGTACAAGTGAGTGGGACTCCTCAGACTAAGTCCACAAGGGAAATACTCTACCTGACTGAGAAACCTTTTTCTTTCACTGAACCTCAGGCCAGAATGATTAGGACATATCTTGATACCTGAGAGGGATAATAATCTACCATTTCAAAGCAAGCACCTCATACTTAGTGCATCCTTGTCTTTCATTTTCCAGCCCTTGCTGGAAAACTCTTGCTGGTTTCTAACTATCCTTCCCACTCTGCAGATCCAGGAGGTACCACATTTATCCTTTTCCTGATTTACAGGACAACATTTTGAGGGAATATTAGCTTCAAAGGGTAATGAATGTGAATCAATGTATTTTGATTTTAAAAAAGTGAAAGCTGGATAGAGTGGAAAACCATAAATCATTGTTTACTAAGGGTCAAGTTGGCAGAATTGAATTGTTGTACATATGGCTGGAAGCTGCTGCTGTGCCAGGCAGGAAGGAGGCATTGGCTGGCCAGCTGTTATTTGAATTAGGTATTACACATCTCAGTTCTGTCCAGCACAGGTGTCATGGAGACACACAAGAAAAAATGAATACCCTGTAGCAAGTGAGGGAAAGGGGGAAATGAATACACCCAGAAGCTCTATTTTTCCTACTGCATACAGAATGAATTGCCTAATATATCTCTCTTCATTCTGAGAAGTAAGCAACAATACCCCCATTTTGCAGGCTGGAAGTTTAGGCACAGCTGAGTGAGGTCACCTCATCAGACTTCACTGGTTAGGTGCTCCAAAGCAGGAGAGTAAACCCCAGTCTCCAGAGTCCCAGATTAATGTTGGAACCACTTAATGAACCACAGGCTAGTGTCTCAGATGTGTGGTAATTCTGTCCACTTCTACTCAAGTCCCATGCTTGGGATGGTTTTCCACATAAGTGTAATGATTTTTCAGTGGTATTGTTCAGATCTGAGCTGAAAGAACATTGCTGAAAATTGCCTTTCTGGAAAACATTTGTATTTATAAATGGGTCTATTAATTAATGAGTTTGTCCACTTAACCTATTGCTAGTGCACTTTGAATATTCCAGGGTCTGCTGTAGACATGAGTTTGTTAATGGGAAAGGTCAGCCAGCACTTATTACCATTAAAAACTCATTTATATCTGCTGATCCCCTTGGTGGTGCTTTGATTCTCATGGCACACTGGGTTTTATACTCCTTTCCAGCGGTTGTAAGCAGGGTTGTTTCAATGCTCCTTTTGAAAACCAGTAACAGCACTCAGAGGATGAGTTATGAGTTATGAGTTATGTGTCATGGTGCACGTAGATCATTGCTGCTACATCTGAACTGCTCTTGAACCTCACTCCACCTTCCTCCTACTCTTTTAACTCTTACCAAGTCTCTGGAAAGGTAGAAGAGCTGTGAAATGGAAGGGTTTTGGTGTGCCTGCTGCACATTTTTCTTGGCTTCTTGCCCAGCTTCCAAACTAACCTTCAGATACCCTGCATATCATTCCTGGTGGTCAACTAACAAGACAGCCAAGGTTCGGGTATTGGAAGGGAATCTGCCCCGTGCAGCCAGTAGGGGTACAGGAAGCTATAGCCACAGTGTCTCCTGTTTGTTTGGGATTGTGTTTTTTTCCCCTGCTGTGTTTTTTTGAAAAGCCATTTGCCAAGACTGACAGAGAGATATAGTGGTGGGACATATCTGTGAACTCTTCTGGGTTAATAAAGCCTGCCAGTTAGTATGAGGGCAATATGGGCTCTGCTCCAAATTCACACATATTCAGGTCATCTCTGTGGGTGAAGAAATGTATGAAAATATGTTTTTAATCACGCAAATACGGTTCTTTAGTGACCATATTCATCCACAGTTTCTGTGAACCTGCAAAATTATGCTTTCTATCTGGCTACTAGAAATTTCCTCGTGTATTCCCAAGAGAGAGGCATAGTTAATATGGGATGTCTGTTTGCTGCTGAGCTGACCTTACTCGGCATTACAAATCAATAAATCACAGACAGACATTTCTGTGTCACCTTTCTCAGGATATGAATTCTCCTACTTGAGTGAGCATTTCTATTTTAGAGCAGTGTAACCTACACGGGCATGTAAATACTGCAGTCAACACCACAGTAGCTCTTGCTGAAGAACTCGTGGTACAGGCACTAATACCTGCTGTTTCTGGTTTGTTCACTTGTCTCTTCTGCATTCAGGTAGATCAGATCTGCTTGGCTTTAGCACATTCTATTAGAAAAGTAAGGTTAGATTTTCACACTATGCAAAATATTTAAGTTTGTGTCTGATGCTGTGTGTTAAGAATAGCATATTGATATTTTTAGCTATAGGAACACAGTGGTGTGTCTTTTTTTGTTTCCTAACAGAATGCCATACACAATTACTGATGAAAACAATAATAAAAATCTCCATTCAACTTCCAGCATAGAGGAAACTTCCTGGTTTTGCCATTTTCATCTAGCATGTGAAAGATAAATAAAAAGAAGGTCTGGAGTCTAAACCTAAATTAGTCTATTAGAGGGAAACCCAGTAATGTGACTACCTTACATGCATTTTTAAGTCTGTAATTTTTTATCTAGTTTTCTCTTCCTTTTTTTTTCCCCATTTCTCTGAATGTCCAAATCAGTGTTTGGGTTCTGTGGAAGCACCTGCAAACTGCACAAAATCAAACTCAAATTATAGCTGTCATATCATTCTCATTAGTCTGTATCCCAAAACAATTCAATGTACTAATAGAAATGTAGACAGCTGAAATTGATAAAGGTTTAATCTGGATGATTTTTGAATTGCTTTCCTGGCAAACAAGACTGAAATAAGCCAAGACTCATTTCTTCTGTATGAATGAGTATGATACTCCCTGCTGGATGGTTTTGATTTTTGAGCAGTTCTATTCCTAATTTATATGTCATTCTCCAGAAACAAATGATGGGCCAAAATTGGCAATTGCCTTGTTTTAAACTGTCATGTTTCTAGCAAGCAGCCAGCCTCGCTCAGCTGACAGCAGCAGCAGCAGCCTTGCCAGAATCTCAAGGCTTAATCATCAGAGGAATCACTTAAGATTCCTGGTCTAGGGAAGGGTGTCCCTGCCCACGGTGGGGTGTTGGAACAAGATGATTTTAAGGTCCCTTCTAACCCAAATCATTCTGTGATTTCTGCATATATTCTAAAGTAGTATTTGCTGAGTGCTGCCTAAATAGGTATCTTCATCTGCTTAGGTTTGCTTCTATTTTTAATTCCTAAGGAAGTGAGTATCTGCTTTTCAGAAATATCTGACCTCAAGCTGGGTTGATGTGGTTGATGTGGGACTGAGATGCACAGATGGGTATCTGTCATAGAATTACAGCTTTCAAATGCAAGGACAAGATCTGCTTTCAGAATCAATTGATGACTGGGGTTTGTACTCCTTTGGGGTTTCTCTGGAAGGTTATATTGGAATCACAAAAATGCAGAATGCCTTTGGTGCAAATGACACCCTATTCAGACTGCTGAAATATATGGGCAGAAAGTTTCATGGGTTATTCCACACAACCACTGGATTCCTCTCAGTGAATTGAACAGAGGAATTTCTAGTTTGAGCAGATTCTTTAAAAAATAAACTTAAAAATCCTCATACTATTTGTTGTGTCCTAAAAGGCTTTTTTGTTGACTCTGAACCTCCTTTAACACATCTAAATCTAATCTGCCCTTCATAGTGGCAAAAGATTTTGAAAAATCTGTACTTTTATCAGTCCAGCTCTAGAAGACTGAATTAACAACACAAGTCTAACAGAGCTTCTTGGACTGCAAAAACTAAGCCAAATTCCAGTTTTATCAATTTGCTTTGGAAAATGGAAACGCTAATTATTTATGGAGTTGTGCAGTATTTCATGACATGCAATTTCGTTTCTGACAGATCACATAATTATGTTATGGGGGATGGGATTTGAAAATGCAGGGTACTGATCTAAGCCCCTTCACACCAAAAGGCTTGGATGGTTGATAAGAATTAACTTAATTTTTTTTCCTTTCTGATCCCTTTTCTCATAAGTTTTTATGAATTATAGATATGTTCATGCACGTGCACAAGTGTAAGAGAGTGCATATTTTCTTCAGGCCTTTTAATTGTTACTTTCATTGAAATGACATCTATGATACAGAGTCTTGAAGGGATTAAAACAGAACAAACTTTCTGTACATATATTGGAGCATTGAGGACTTTGATGTCTTTACAGCTGCAGTGGTGTCTCTTTTGTCCAGATAAAAAGCTTCAAACAACATGGAAAAAAGAACTTGTTCTGAAAGGTATTGGTTTTAATTTTTATACTTTTTTTTTTTCCTCTCAGATATTATGACCACCATTAAATCATGTTCCTAAGCCCCACATACACACACCTTTTAAATAGCTCCCACCCAATTCCCTGGGAAACCTGTTTCAATGCTTGGTAACCCATTTGGTGAAGAGATTTTTCCTGATATCCCATCCAACCTTCCTCTAGTGCAACCTGAGGCCTTTTTCTCTCATCCCACCACTTGTAGCAGGTTGCTGACCATTTCCCCTTGGATTATGGGGGCTTCATTCTGCTCCTCAACTCTGTCTTCAAGTTTAAGCAGCTGAGTACAACAACTGGTTTTATTGTTAAGCACTGAGGCAAAGAAGACATTAAGTACCTTCCCCTTTGTGTTTCCCTGTGAATCCAGTAGAGGGTAAAGATTCTCCTTAGACCCCCTTTTGTTGCTAATATATTTCTAGGTACATTTTAATTGTCTCTTATGGCAGTAGCTGAATTAAGTTCTAGTTGGCCTAGAGATTTCCAGTGCTCTGCTGAACCTTATAGGAACTATTCCACATAACTATCTTTTTCTCAGGTAAAATTATAGGTGGCATTTTTAAAATGAATGTCTCCTTTCTTCCATTTGTATTAAGTGTGACCTACCTTAACTTATGCAGTATCTTTTCCCAAGGTAAAACCAAACAAAATTAAAAGAGCAAGAATGTTATCTTTCTAAAGGTCATGTCTCTTATGATTAATGTGCTGTTCTGAACACAAATATCACTTAGCAATTATAATGTGAATGCAACTACCAAATTTTTAAGAGAAAACCAGCATGTTTGTGTATTTATTTAGAGTTATGCTAGCCAAAGCCATTTGGAGAATGAATGTTTCCCATAGGTATCCACACTTTATTCACAAATCAAACAAAAAAAATTTTAAAGACTATGAGTTTTCTGTATTTTCACATTCCAACCTGTGATTTTGACCTGACATTTCTCATCTGCCTTAGATGAGTGGCTTCTGTGCTAGCTTTTATTCCATTGTTAAAAACATGGTTAATAATGTGGAAGGTGAAGGGGGAATGCTCATAGAATAAGGATGAAGGCGGAAGGAGCTTTGTGTCTTTGGTGATTGTAATTACTTTCTCTTTTTTTTTATTTTTTTCCCCTCTTGTACAGCCTGAAAGTGCTGCATGGACTGTCCTGAAATGCCAACTGCCTGTCAGTGTCATCCATCAAGGGTCGAGCAAGGACTCGCTGTGACAGACACCTCTGCCTTAAAGGTAATTACTCCAAACCTCCCAACACTGAATTAAGCACTGGTAATAAAGCACCACGCTTCAGGCCAGCATGGAATGAAAGGTTTAGCTTCATGTTTATTTTATAGCTGCTTTATTTACACTTTGCCATATTCTGGTGACATAAATTAATCTGCTTGCTCTCTTCAGGTTGCCTGAAGTGCCTGTACTGATCCCGGCGCGGTGTTACCTGGCGCAACAGCAAACTGCATCGGTGTCAGCACTCCTGATACCAACAGGCAAAGGAACACAGCCCTGGAACTCAGGCAGCTCTGTCCCTGCCTCTGGGTGACCTTAGAGAAATGCTTTGTAGCCTCTCTGCTTCAGAGTCCCCTCCCCTATCTAGAGAAGAAATCCAGTGTACCCCCAGCTGGATAGCTGCAGCAGAGATACAGCACATCACCTGGGGCCTGTAATTTAAAACTAGGTTTCCTGATTCTTTACTAATTTCACTATCACAAATCTATATTTTTTCAGTCAGAAATTTAAAAATCAGAGTAAGCAGATTGGGGCTGGAAGGATTAATATGTTTCCTTTGATACTAGAATTCTGGTATTTGGACTGTGCACTGCATTTCTTTCCTCAACGACTGCATATAAAATGCTATTTGCTGACTTCTCATCTATATAATTAAAGCAAGCCCAATTATCAGAAGGATTCTTATGAGGCTTAGCTGCTCTCCTACATATTCACTGTCAGAAGGATTCTTATGAGGCTTAGCTGCTCTCCTACATATTCACTGTCTTACATCCATTAAAAATATCTTCTAACTTTCCCTTCTAGAGTAAATATATAGAAAAGTTAGAGAAATTATCCTACTGTCAATTTATAGAGAGAAAAACATGTGAAAATAGGTTACATTCGATTTTTTTTTTTCAGATTCAGTAGTTATCTGAAGAGCTGTGGATTTTCTAACTTGTTTGATCTGTGAATGCAACCAAACATTTCTAATCTCCATCAGATGTTGTGAAGCTGTGCTTTTTTGCTCTATGCTGTTTTGAACACATCATTGTAATGGCCCTCAGGACCCTTAGAAAAGAAACATAAGGGGCCCTGGCCATGGACATCCAACCACAGATTTTATTTTGATTTAATTTATCTTAGTGAGGAATTGCATCCTTCATTTGTAGTGGGCATTAAATATCATACAGCTCTCTGTGAGCAAGCATGCAGCCCATTTTCTTCAGGATGCACCATACTGCTAAACAAAGAGCCTCTGCACAACCTCAGTGTCACAGGTACAGCTCTGCTTCTGTCTGCCCCTGCCTTTCTGAGGTACAGGTACTGTGGGAAGTACTGAACTTGTCAGTAACACTTCTAACACATACAAAGTAAACAATCAAAAACTGGTAATGCAGTCTGCTTTCATATTAAAATGGGATGAAGAAGGTTTCTCCTATTTTGAAAACTGATCTTCCACAATATTCTGTTTATTAGCAAATGCTCAGTATTGTTATGCTGCTCTCTCAATGGGGAATGCCCAGGATGAATTTTAAAGCAATCAGGAATACAAGGAGGACTTTAATAGCACCAGGTGTGCTGGATAACCCAGAGCTTATCTCAGCAGATGGCAGAGAAGGTGGTGACACTCTTCTGTGCACTGAGCAGGAAAAGACCTCAGCTGGACCCAGTGATTGCTGAGATTGTCAGCCCAGCAGCTCTGGTGACTTGGACAATATTTTCCATATCTGTAAGAAGAAACTCTCCAAATAGAAAGATTTGCTACTTTGTAAATATGAATCTTTGGGTTGATTAGAAGAAATGAGAAAAAACTTTTTCTTATGCTCTTTCAAAGTTTGTTTCAGAAGTAGTTGAAGCTGCCTGTAGCCTTTCTGAACTCTGTGCCATTTTGCTGAAGGGTACCTGCTTTGTTTATTTGATAAGACTCCTGGAAGTGCCAAAGTAGAAGAAGCTTTCAGATGTGAGCATAATTCAATTTCTGTATGGAAAGTGCTTTGACTCTTCCATAACTCTGCTTTAACTTCCTCAGACTGAAATTCTAGGCAGTGGTAGAAAATGCTGCCTCATAGTCTGTCTTGTCCTCTTACCAGCTTTGCCTGATATTATACTGGCCTGCAAGGAAAAAATGGAAGGAACTGGATTTTAGCCTAAAAATCTGAGAGATGCAGCAGGCTTTAAATATATTAAAAGTTTCTGCAAGGAGGAAGAGGAACAAACTGTTCTCTTCAAGCTGTGAGGCAAAAAGTAGTTTGCTTGAACTGGAACAAAAGCAGATTTAGGAGGAGCTTTGTAGAAAGAATGCTCCAGTGACAAAGATAATTGAGGACTAGAATAGATTTTGTATAGAGGCTGGGGAAGCTGGAGGTTTTTAGAGTGGTTACAGAACCATCTGGCAGAAATGCTTTAGTTGTGATTTGGGGCGGGTGGATGCACCAGCTGATCCATCTGAGTCTTTCTTACTCCTTCCTAGGATTTAGCAGTAAGAGCCTAAAGAAAGGGGAAAGACTACACCAGGCATCCACAGCAGGGTGACTTTCATATTCCAGTGTTGAAAATACAACTGTAATAACAAATTTTGTCACAGGCTATGCAGCTCTAGTCAGGCAGGTCAAGTATTCTCTGCTACCTTCCCATCAGGCACTTGCTGATTGCTGGATCATTTGCTTTACAGTAATAAGGGATTTTTTTTGAGTATTTGTTGGAGAGATGTGCGTGGGTTTGATTTACAATAAAGCATTGTCAGTTTGAAAAGGATTGCCATTATGCACATTTGTATTAAGTTGAGAAATGGGATAGAAATTCTCATCTCAGATCATATGCTTTCCTTTGCTTTGTATTTTGTGACTTTTGAGTAATAAAATTACCTCATGACATGCAGGGTTAATCTAGTTTATTCTTCCTATAATCAGCAAACTATTTGTAACTGGAGGTGAAGGGGTTAGTTTGTCTGTAATATCTGCATAAATCACACAGTGTTAATTTAAAAAGTTAATTTATTTCATTTCACTAGCAAATATTCTGCCTCCAGAAATTACCCTTTCTGTGAAAACTGTTCTGACTGTTTTCTATTGTCTATTAACATGATGCTATGAGGATATTTTCCATAGGAATGCTCAAACTTAGAGCTGTGCCCACCTGCAATGATAAAACTAGAAAAGCAAATTGCATTATCCTCTCAGTAAGCATTTTAGTTCTTTATTGTTTTAACCTGCGTTCTTGTAAATCAGCCAGAGCAATCAGTTTTAATGACTCCTCTAAGAGAAAAACAAACAGCAGTGGAAAAGATCTGCTCTTTAAGTTTAATCCTGAAAAGAAAAATAATAGAAGAGGCACTGCATTTTCCCCTCACCAAAACCTCCAGTAAATAACCAATTCTCATTGCTTGCCCTGTGCTGGAGGTTGTGAGATTCCTGAGCATATGAAGAGTAAAGCTGAAAGTTGTTTTTCAGTGTTTGCTGTGAACAGCAGCAATTCAGCAATCTGCTCAAAGGACTGCACCAGCAGTAGGGAACAACGTGGCCGTGGTCCAAAATAATCTGATTCTGGTCATTACATATTTAGTGATCCCCAAATAAGTTTGCATCAATTAAGGGCTCAGTTTGTTTTCACTAAACCCAGTGCATGACTTCTCAGCTTAATTCAGCTGAGCCATCCCTTCTGCCAACCACCCGTACAAAAACGTATTTCTCTGACATGCTTTGGTTTTTTAAAGGAGAGAAAATTTGGAAAACTTTTAAGGACTGAGTATAAAACCAAGATGACTGACTTCTCTGATTGCCAGACATCTGCTCCTTCCAGTTGTGGGGAATTCCCTCAAAAGTAGTGTCAAGTGCCCTAAAAAGAGATGGCAAAGACAATGAATTTTTCAGATCTGCTAGAATTCTCTCTTTTCTCAGCAGACAGAATGTCTTGACTTGTGAATTCTTAAGATTATAAATTATAACCATAGAATCATAAAACAGTTGTGATTGGAAGGGATAACTGGAAGTAATCAGCCAAGTATTATAGATGTTCTAAAAGTAATGGGTTATAGTATTTGCATTCTAAATCTGGTACCTTATTTAATTGTTAGATGACTATAGGAATATTTTGGAGATTTAAGGCCAGGAGCCCTCTTCCAGGTAGAGGAGGGAAAAGTACATTAAAATGACAGCCTAAAAGCTGAAAATAAGGGGAGAAGAAGAAGAGAATGAGAAAGGACATGATTTAAGGGCATTATTCCACCTGAGAAGTAAAAAGGTATGGGGAAAATGGACTTATTCTTTCCAACTATAACACTTGCTCTAATAATATAGTACCTCCTCCTGTTAGCAGTGGCTTTCCTGTCCTGAGAACAGTGCTGTTACAACACTGCTGCCTCAAAGACAGTGTTTTTAACCTTGCACTCTAACAGCCATTTCCATGTTGAACAGCCTTACTCAGTAATAGCAGTGTGTGCTGTTGTTACACAGCAGCAGAAACAAGCTTGAAGCCCATTTCCTTTCAGGCTTCACTCTCCCTGCTTCCTGAGCCTTCTCCCCTGCCACAACACTCCAAGCAAGTCTCCATCTCCAGAGAGGCAGAGTTTCTGCAGGTGGTTCTGATGTGTGCATTAGGATTTTTAATTAATTAATTGTTAATTGCTAAGCCAAATAAAGCCTGATGACCAAAGCCTGCCTGCCCTGCTCTCAGTGGTGGAGCTGGTTTCAATCCCTTACCTGTTTGAGTCTTGATCTTTACAAAACCTGGAGGAGCAGCAGTGGCTGGGCAGAGGTGATAAGAAGGTGAATGAAGGGAATTTCTTTCCAGAGGACATCTTACTAAACATTTTTTAAGAAAAGCATTTCCTCCTAAACATTTATTGTCTGCACTCAGCCACAGCTGCTGTATGAAATCTGTATTCTCTACCAGTAAAATGTTTTTATGTAATTCTGGAGCAGTTCCACTGGTGGTGGACCAAAGCAAATTTCAGGCTAGAAACTATGATCAGACAGGTTATGGAAGACAATAAATATTATTTTTTTTTCCTAATGGGTAGCTTAATTAAGATACAAAGATGCCAAATCAAGTCTCCATGGCAATATAAGAAAATTTTGAGTTCTAATAATTAGCTATTTGGTTAAGTTTCTTTCCCATCATACATCTCTGCATAAGCCTGCCATTAGCAAGGTATAAAGTACTGGTACACCAAAAAAAAACCAGTGGGTTCTTCAGTATCTGTACTTTGTTTTTAATGATTACTGATAGACATAGATATAGATGGAATTTTGTTGTTTTAACTAAAATCATCACCAATTAAACTATTTGGTAATTTAGAGAACCTCTGAGATAAAAAGAAATGTGGGAAAATATACAGAAAAACATACATTGAAGAGTTCTTTTCCATATCATGGTGCTCAGTACATATTTTATTTTATTCTTATGGTTTTTTTTCTCCTGAAAGGAAATGTCTGTGAGATGAGAGAGTGCTTGGAAAGGAAGGGAGACTCTCCAGAGCAAAGGGACACACAGGGAGGGGAGCCCAGCAATGGGAGCATCTGTGGCACAGTGCAGACTGCTGAGAAGGAACAGGGACAGACAAACTGACAAAAGTGCAGTGTCAGAGACTTCTCCTGCTGCATAGAGAGGACTGTACAATCTTCTAAAACACAGAAAGTGGCCGAGTCAGAATTAAGGAGCCTAAGAGGATTTATTCACTAAAACCACAGTAAGATCTTAATTTCTAAGTGCTCTTGTGATTATTGTTTGTTT